ATTTTTAAGATAAAATTCTATTTCTATAACGATAAATATTTGATTGACATTTAATAAAAGCTATTTTATAAAGATTTTCAATTTCTCTTTGCGTTTTAGCTTTGATTTTTCGGATAGAATAAAATGGCAGGCAGCCTACTCCACTGGGTCGAGTTTTGCTGTGCAAATTCCTCCCGTCGGGGGGTTATGTTTACAACATAAGCTTGTCAGCTTTGCGCTGATTGGCTAGTCGCATTTTCTCAAATCACCCAGATGAAATGATCACAGCGCTTCGATTACGCCATGAGGTTTACTGATATATTTAAGCATGACCTTAAAAAATTAATGCCTCTGCAATAAAATTTAAAATGATACACGACGTCTGTAATTTTATCATGCCAAAAACATTATAAATTGCGGGATCTATCACAATCCTGTTTATAATGCGCTCTTCGCCCAATATTGGCATGTTCAGTAAAAACTCATGCCACTCTTCCTCAACTCTTCGATTTCTATATCAAATTTTACTTTCCAACCCGTTTTTAAAAATAGATGTAAAAAAGTATTTATATATATATTTTTATATTGGAGAGCTATACGTGGTACCATCAGCCAGGGGCAAATCTCTCACGGGATGCTTCAAAACCAACCAATTCCAGAGTGCTTTAATCCCAGAAAAGGAAAGGATTGGCTGCAAATTCATATGGGGTAAATTCTAATACCCCAGGTAAAACCCAAACACTGTCTGATTGTAGCACATATAAGCCGAACAGATTTGTATTAAAAGATAGAATAGAAGTTAAAACTGAGATGTACAAGCAAGTGTGAACACAGCAGTTATAACAATAAAAGAACTAAAGAACAGAGCAACGAATCCACGGTTCATAAGATTGGTGGAGAACTGAAAGATCCCGAAAGACTCATCAAGGTACGAGAGCAGTAACAAAGACCCTAATTTAATGCAATGCCATAACTGTAGTACGTAAAAAGACTATTTTTTTAATTATGTAAAATATCATAAATTTAGTTTTCAAAGTGATTACTCGTAGTCGAATGCGTTCGGCCCTGGCCGGGCGAAGTAGTGACCATCAGGAAAGCTCGGTCAGACGTAGTCACCTCCAAAATTTTGTAAGGTCGGTTTGGGGAAATGATAGCCATCGCGGTCTAGAAGCACACCAATTGTTGAAGAATTAGAGGAACTCAACTGATAACACTCGAGTCGTACCGCACCTTGATACGCCTAGYGAAACACCGGCTAATACAAACCAACAAATAGGCCAATTCCACAGTTACAAGTCAAGAAGCCCTGTAACATAGCCTCCACACCGTCCTTGCATATCCGAACTGGAAGACTGGTAAGTTGTTGTCGTCGTCCAACATCTGTCGTGCTTGGACGATGTGATGGACGACGAAGTCATCGTACATGTCCATTTGGCCAAACAGGGCCACTAGGCCTGGGACGTTACACATTACAAATTCTGCCCTCGAGATCTACATGTACTTCTTAAGTATGATATTGGTCTATTAAACTTAAAGAAAGCAAGGTGAAAAATATCTGCTTTTAGGTGATGAGTCAAATAGAAGAACCAAAGTAAACAAATAACTTACAGTACTAAAACTTAAACAAGACCAAAGTAGGAATTCAAAAATGCATAATCATAGGGGCTAAAAAGTATATCTTGAGTTGGATTTGGTGCAGCTTGCGAAGCACGGGGTAGGTATAGCTTGTTCGAGCACGTGCTTGAGGTTGGGAGAAAGCGTTGCCCACATTCTACAAATTCTATACCAGGGGTGATGGAAAAGCCTAAAACTGGCTCTTCATCCACCCCTGTCATAAATTTCAAGATCTTTCCCAAAGTAACATTTTGTCTTCTCCCACCTTAAAAATATAATGTCAAAGAAACAAACTGAGTGTAAGCTTTTATGGTGTAGTTGATATGTATACAACATTTGTGGCCATGGTGAGGGGTGATTACAGCTTCCTGATGTAGCCACATCAATCCATTAAGTGGTGTTTCCCGGGGGGGGGGGGGGGGGGGATTGGGACCTCAAAACCCTGAAAATTTGAAATTTGACTCTGAAGAAGAAGCTCGTGATGCCTTGGATGAAAAACTTGGACAAATACTGAAGAAATACTCGAAATCAGGAGTCAGGATCAGACCCATGTGACAGCAAGTAACAAGACTCAGGAGACTCAGGATAAAACCGTTAATACTTTTCAAGAAGAACAGCAAGAGAATGAACAAACAACTTGCGTAAGTACTTCTGCCAATAGCCGACTTTAGATATTTTGGTTCAGTGACCATGCACAAAAGAATTGCAAACGAGGCTCCGGGGAAATAAAGAATAAATCAAGATTATCCATTGATAATTTTATTTTTTTAATATTGCAAAGAGTTATTTTGAAGTGCACGCTTCAAAATGACCAATCAAAGAGCGTACAATATCGTTTTATTCTTTATTTCCCCGGAGCCTCGTCTGCAATTCTTTTGTGCATGGTCACTGAACCAAAATATCTAAAGTCGGCTATTTGGAACAAAATGATTGCCAGAACTTCACTGAAACTCAGCAAGCCGCTAATAGATTTGACGAAATATGTGAGTTTATGAAGGATCAAAAGCTCTTAAATGAGAACTTAGGAAAAGCAACCACAAGTGCTACGATAGAAGTCAGTGAAGTATTCACTGACTTAAAAGACTTCGAGTGTAAAGCAACAAACATGATCAAAGAAGTTAAACTTGCGTTCAATATTGAAATTGATTCACTCAAGCTATCATTTTAGGCCGTAATCTGTGGTCGATTATCGTTCAAAAAAACTGAAATCACGGATGGAAAGAAAAAAACTTCACAGATCTAAAGTTTTTTASTTACTGAATGGATTTCKGCTTGTTGGCGTTCTCTAGATGCTGCTGTTTTTGAGTAATCGACGTGGAAATTTTGAAAATCGCCGTCACGTTTGTTTTGGCCGCCATCTTGTTTTGAGCATGCGTAGTTGTCATTTTCGRGTAGGTACTTGGTGCACTTTGCATTTAGTGTATCGATGCACAGAGTTGGGATCCCTGTGTTTCGTTTTATTTCTATTAAAGTTGTTCATTTTTTTGCTGTATTTACCGCATATTGCTATTAAAGGTATTTTCTAAATTATTAGTATATCTTACCTTTTTCAGATGAAGATAAGGGTGACAAGATTTATTGTATAAAATTATGTTCTGAAGATGRAAAAACTTGAAGAAAATTAGACAGTACTTTTTAACGCGGGAATACGTCTTTAACAGGGAAGGCAGCCTTAAACACGGGAAGTACTCTTTAACACGGGAAGCAGTCTTTGACGCGGGTATCGCTCTTCAACACGGGAAGCAGTCTTTGACGCGGCTATCGCTCTTCAACACGGGATGCAGTCTTTGACGCGGGTATCGCTCTTCAACACG